TAAAAGAAAAATGGAATTAAAAAATGGAAAGACTTTAGTCCCCGGGAAAAGAATATAAAAAACGTTTTTTTTTTTACAATAAAAATGGCCCGTATGAATCCCGATAAAATTTAACATACATTATCTTTGATAATACACAAGGATTGAAAGTTTGAAGCCGATATGAAAAGGTATTCTCAAGCCATTACATGGAAACCAATATCCCGATTTGCTTAGAGAGTTAGCAAATTTTTGATGTTTCATAAAACCGGCAAATTTGCACCTTCACAGTTAATTTAAATATTCATTGCTTTCGTAGGATACTCTCAAACTCAAGTTTTTATCGATAGAAACATTCGCAAGTTAATGTAAAGAAACCGATTTCCAAATTTGTTCGATAAGATAAGATAAGATAAGATTTCGTTCGGATTTTTAACCCCGGAGGGTTAGCCACCCAGGATAACCCAAGAAAGTCAGTGCGTCATCGAGGACTGTCTAACTTATTTCCATTGGGGTCCTTAATCTTGTCCCCCAGGATGCGACCCACACCAGTCGACTAACACCCAGGTACCTATTTGCTGCTAGGTGAACAGGACAACAGGTGTAAGGAAACGTGTCAAATTTTTCCACTCGCCGGGAATCGAACCCGGGCCCTCCGTGTGTGAAGCGGGAGCTTTAGCCACCAGACCACCGGTGTCTATAGAGCTAAACCACAGTCTAAGCCGTCCTCTCTAACTTCAGTCCGTCCTTTTAACCACAGACATTATGGCAATGTTAAACCCGTGGCGAGTGAGACCTAACACTCACGGGCCACTCGACCTGTTGCCTCATTTTCGGGTTATTGTGACAGATTTTTTTTTATTGTCTTTTATCATATATTTATGTTTTTTTTCTGTTGTAACCCCATACCCATCTTGTGGGGGTTACTACCACCCACAAGATGGGTATGGGGTGACTACCACCCACAGGATGGGTATGGGATGACTACCACCCACAGGATAGGAATGGGGTAACTGCCACCCACAGGATGGGTATGGGGTGACTACCACCCACAGGATGGGTATGAGATGACTACCACCCACAGGATGGGTATGGGGTGACTACTACCCATAGGATGGGTACAAAATACAGTCTGTTTCCGGCATTACCGGTAGATACAGTAAACCTTGGGTAAAAACAACATATTTACACTGGTTCCAACCTAGACTATCGCAACATGACCGTTACATTTCTACTTGCTTATTCAGGATGGACCAGTCACGTCGAAGACCTACTTGGGTACATATTACATCGTAGGATGTGATGTTTATCTTTTATTGGGTTAGGTAAAACAAACAAAAGCATCCAAACAAAAGCAGAAGAAGAAATCTTCCTTATTTTTGCTGACAATGTTTATCAACGTATTTATTTTATGTTTCCCTGGTATAACTGTCTATTTAATGTTTCCTTGCGTAATTGTTTACCATATATACCGTCTATCAGTAATATTTTTTTCTAGGCAGAGAATATTGTTTTGCAGTCACTTGTTACAACTTACATGTTTATACTAGGAACGTACACATGTATGGTATATAATACCGACAAGATGAAGAATTAAACATCTGTGTAACATCTGGGTATATTTATTGTAGACGTTTCTCCGGTATATAAGCGCCAGTCATCAAGCCTGTGCTTTAGACTCTTCAATACTACGATGCTCTTCACCAACTCCAAGGCTGAGGGACTGATTACCTCATCTTTTGTATATAGTTATACTGTTTTCAAATTATGTTCTTGAATTTGTATTGATAAAGCCACTGGATGGCGAAACGTCTGCAATAACGATTCCCAGATGTTGCACATGTGTCCAATTCTTCACACTAAAAGCATTCTGTGGTAACTTCACTGTTTATAATAAGTGTAGGTTATCATTCTCAGCCGGATGCATCACAAGGACCATGATTGTTAAACACGATTCTGAATGTAATATAATACAGGAACTCCTGTAAGTCTGGAACCACTGGATCATTGGATAGAACATCGAGGGAGTGAAGAGTGGCCGGTGAGGAGCCCGATCTCACTCCTTTGGATTTCTATCTCTGGGGTCGTAAACTAATTAATTATTATGTACCTCAAAAATTTGATATGTCAGGTGTCTAAGTGTGAAGAGGAAGTTGAGGACGCAACGTTGAAGTGGTCGTTACAAGAGTGGCAACTGGCAGGAGAGGCACGCTCTCTGCTCCTCCAGAGGAAGAATCTCTTCTGCCCCTCAAGCAACCGCTTGTTTGTCTTCTTCCCTGACCGCATGTCCCTGAGCGAGGCTCTTCATCTTTGTCAGGTGAGGAATTTGATTTATTTTAATTTGCAGACTAAGTGCTCTAATCCTAGATCAGTTCATTTTCAAGCCTGGCATGCAACAATCGGCTAACGCACTGATACTTCTAGGTGAATAGGGACGTCAGAGGTAAGGAGACTAATACACAGGTACCTGTTCACAGTTAGGTGAACTGGTATAGAAGATGTAAGGAGACTAACACCAAAGTACCTGTTTATTGCTAGGTGAACAGGGGCAGCAAATATAAGTAGATTTAAAACGATCGTCTCGCCTCGCCAAGGGATTAAACCCGATTACCTCCACCCTAGAGTCAAGCACAGTACCTCTGTGAGAAACATGGAAGATTTCACCGTAACTTACAAAATAAAAGGACGAAATATGACGAAATAAATTTACAGTTGTTGACGAGTAATTAATAATAATAATAATCTTTATTTCTACAAGTACATGTACATACTGACACATTAATTGAGATCAGAAGAAAGTGTAAAACCAAACATTGTGCTCTGCTTGTGATGGTGACTGTTAACGAAGCATTGATGACGGGATTGCAGAATGAAGTTAGATAAGTAAGATGCGGTACTATACAGATTACACCAGCATCCTGGAGGTGGTCACTCTTGTTAAGGACTCTGAGATTATCATTATTATTATTATTATTATTATTATTATTATTATTATTGTCGTTATTACTGCCATGATATCACTGCCATAAATATCAGTCTCAGCACCATAGTGAGTCATCACAAGTCAGTATCATGCTGTGATGATACCGGGACCAAGTCTTGGATAACAGTGGTTTTTCTCTCATATACCTTTATGTAACTGTTTAATTAATATGCTACTGCAATATGTTTGTTGTGGGCTACCCAAGGGGCGGCTTATATAGTCATACCCTCAGATCTACCCAGAGAATGCCTTACGTAGTCTTGCCCTCAGATCATCCCAGAGAGTATATTATATAGACATACCTCATGTAGAGGCTCCCATGGGACAATGAAGGCTTTCAAATATCGAAAAATAAAGCAAGTCTATACAAGAATTATTTTCTTTACAGATTGTTGGAGGAATTGTGGCAGTGCCCCAGAACGAAGAGGAGAACTCCCTTATATACCTGTCAACTCAGAAGTGGGCAGAGAATTGCTCAGGACAGCTTGGGGCATCGTATATGTGGCTAGGGGCCAATGATAATAAGATTGAAAATAAATGGGTTTACTGGGGCTCTGGAGAACCCATACCCAAGCAAGGTGTCTGGCGTGGCAAGGGACCTAATGGTGGCACTGTCGAGAACTGCCTGGTGATGTTATATGGTTACTTTCATGGAGAATGGGCAGTATTGCCTGCCTGAAGACCTATGCTTTCTGTGCTGTGTGTGAGATGGAGACCAATCAGGGTATGTACCTAAGGGCAGTGTGTGCATAGACTCACCTTTCGATATTCAGTATGTGTCTGGGAATGAAGAGGAGGCCGCATCTCTCTAAAAGGATTCTATCACTCTGATTATCTTCTGGGATGTGAAAATAGATACCTGGGTCCTTCAGTCACTAAGGTACGGGTACGTCAATCATTAGTTTTTTTACTTAGTCTAGGAGCTTTTATTGTATTCACATTAATAATAGGAATAAGCATCCTTCACCATCAATAATGATGGCTTTAGACTTCTGTCGGAGATTCCGTGGATAAAGTATTTATTAACAGTTCAGGTCTTTATTAAAGAACGCGTTGTTACACTTAAATACAGAGGAGCTAAAGGTGGTGGTTTTAGCTTACTCTAAGCTAAAAGGACGTGTAGGAAAGTGTTGTCATATGGCAGGTGAGGGTAATAACGGTTAGCTAAGACACAGGAGCAGCGGTTTGAGGTGAAAAAAGCACTAGTGGAGTATAGTCAAGACACATTCATTCTCTCTGATATCCAAGTTATTTTGTATCAAGAGGTTCCGCTGTGTTGCAGAAACAGTTATTCTGGTGGAGGAAATGTCGGCGACACTGCTAAGTGAAGACTCAATGAATATTCCTTTTTGAGTGTCTTTTCCTTTGGCTGCAAGCAGCGCGCCATTCCAGATTATCAAGTGTGTGGGGGAATTACTAGTGTATTACACAGACACCTCAGAAAACCAATACGTCATCTGAATAGAAATTAAAAAAAAAACCTGTCCTATCTCCAGTAACAAGAAATCCCCATTGAAGGGTTAAATATAAATCATACTTAGGACTTCAAGAGTGTATGAGTCTGTAGTGGAAGGAAGGCGGGGTAGGGGTCGGCCTAGGAAAGGTTGGAGGGAGGGGGTAAAGGAGGTTTTGTGTGCGAGGGGCTTGGACTTCCAGAGGCATGCATGAGCGTGTTGATAGGAGTGAATGGAGACAAATGGTTTTTAATACTTGACGTGCTGTTGGAGTGTGAGCAAAGTAACATTTATGAAGGGATTCAGGGAAACCGGCAGGCCGGACTTGAGTCCTGGAGATGGGAAGTACAGTGCCTGCACTCTGAAGGAGGGATGTTAATGTTGCAGTTTAAAAACTGTAGTGTAAAGCACCCTTCTGGCAAGACAGTGATGGAGTGAATGATGGTGAAAGTTTTTCTTTTTCGGGCCACCCTGCCTTGGTGGGAATCGGCCAGTGTGATAATAATAATAAATAACTTAGGAATATACCTTCATGACTGATAACATGATAGGTGTCTGAGAGAAAATATTCCCTAGTGATATAGCAAAAAGATAATTGATGCAAAAGGTTTAGCAACCGACAAGTTGAAAAATAAGACACTTGTGCAACATTTGGGAATCTTTATTACAGAAACGTTTCGCCAGCCAGTGACTTCTTCAGTCCATTACAGAGAAGATCGGTGGAAGATGAGGAGTTTCAGGTAATCAGTCCCTCAACCTGGAGTCGATGTTTTCAGCATATTAAGATCGAGGCTGAGGGACTGATTACTTCAAATTTCTCCTCGTCTTCCACCCTTCTTCTCTGTAACAAACTGAAGAAGGTACTGACCGGCGAAACGTTTTAGTAATAAAGATTCTCAAGTTTTGCACAAATATCTCAGTCTTCAGAAAGCTACTTGTTCAGCTGACACTGAAGGTACACCAGGAGGCGGGGAAACAAATATACATAATAATTAATTCTTTTGTAAAATATTTCTACCACTGGAGGTGAAACATCTAACAGAAAGTTGTATACCTGTCTATTTCCGCAGATTGTGGGTAATGTTTTACTTAGTATTAGTATATCAAAAGGTATGTGAATGTATATCTCACTGCATATACACTGAACTTTAATTTCTGCTACTGTAGTAAATATATCCTTAACAAAGTAGAGTACAAAAAGTTGCAGCCTTAATAATAATATATATTTTACAAATACATATACAAAAAATAAGACCTACTTGGCTTTATTAACAAACTGCAGGTATTTCGGGCCACAGGGTTTAAA